TTTGGAAATATGTAATATCAAAGTTTTACTTTATACACAAACAGTGTACGTATTAAACGAGTCGCAGTAATGCATAGTTTGCGAATTAAGTAAAACTATGATATGGTACATTTGGAAGCTACGCAAGAATTGAGCACACATCGAAAGGTACACAAGAATTAATGACTCATTCAAATGGTACAAAAGAACGAATGCGTTGCTAAATCTGAAGAAATTAAATAGCATTTCCAGTGAAATAACTCTAAACAATCAAAGTTATAAAATGTAGTCTATGACCTAGGCAATTGTAATCCCACATAACTATTTCAAAGTTGACACAAACGAGGGTTATTCAAATAAAGAGATACAGTTGTGTGCCGAATAACGATTGTTTTGACTTTTGTTATGGTAAATCCATTTTGTTTATGTGTGTTATTTATAACCTGGGCACGCGCTGTGTATATCAATTCTTGCCTGCACCTGCCGTGAGCTATCCCGTGATTGAGAGTACGGTGAATCATGTAACTGACAATTTACACCCCTTACTTGACGAGATCAGCAGTTTGTCAGTTGTTAAATGCCTCACTTTGTTGTTCGACAGTTGGAATGGATCGGCGTGTTTCTCGTTGAATGATGACCTGTGGTATAGAGTTATGTCCCCTGTCCTGTAGATGTCGCTGTGTTACCCGATACATCCATCATCCAGAACAGCAGCAGTGCCGCGTACCTACCAATTAAAACACCTCGACAGGGACTGATGCCTTCACGGAAATAGAACTTAGGATTTTTTAAACTATTTAAAGTACACTTAGTCAAAGAGAACGTTTCGGTGATGTATGTGTCCGAGATTCATTACAGAACTTGACAATCCGTGATCATGGGTGCACAAAAACAAATTTCTACAGTGAATTTGTGCTCAATCAAGGAACAAAGCTATTTAGTTCGCTTAATGTCGATAATGTCGATTTTTTCTGCTTCTTTATATTAAGGACAGTATAAATCACAGTCACAATGACGATTTTGTCAATAGTATAAAGTTCGAGTAAGGTCATAGGGGTCAAAGGTCAGAACAAAAATAGCCGGAGTTTTTAAATGTGTTACTTTCCCAGCAATAAACCTCGGTTACCTCCCATTGAAGACAAAGGGAAAACCAAACCCTTGGCTGGTTTATGAATGACTTTTTTCGGCTTTCGTTAAATTAGCATGTCGTTCCACTGAAAGACTAATATCATCTTTCCATGTCTACGTAGTACATGCAAGTTCTGTTATAATTTCGGTCATTGTAAATTGAATCTCTTAGTAATTTGCTTTATTTCATATCAAACAAATATTTTTTATATTTCTAATAAACTATATGTACGTTTGTTTGACGTTATATATCAATATTTTTCAATCAATTTTGCTCTTAAAAAGGCTAAGATATTTGGCACTTTTTTGATGAAAATAAACATCAATCGTAACATTTGAGATGGAAATTATAAGTTTTAAATTGGAATTCTAGTTGTCTCCGTTTTACTTTGATACAACTTTAAGGAAGGCGTTGTTATTAACTTAAGTTTTCTTACGACAAATAAAAATAATTTCTGTCACGTGATCTAATAAGAAACGTCAAAAGGTTCGTATGCTTCCTCCTGTCTACAGCGATAACATGGATATTCAGCCGTATGTTCTAATCTCAGAAAATATTCATTGATATACGTTCTTTAATTTCAAGTTTAAGTTTCAAGTGTTTTGTTTATTTGAGAACAAAACTTTGAGAATTCCGATAAGATGCAGGCTGAGTTTTTGTAGAAAAGAAAGAAAACGCTGTGTAGCTCTATATATACATGACAAGTGAAGAAGTAGTCAAGACTCCCTGTCTTGGCCAGGCAACGATGTTTTATATTACAATATATGTATGTTTACTTATTTAATAGCTGGCACACTGAGCCCGTACAAGATTCAAATGTTCAAAGTTTTTACATGATTCAAAATTTTAATGAAAAGCAAATATTTTGCGATATTTAGTTTTGTACTTTTTTAAACCTCAACTGAGCAAGCGTTATATCCTTTATATTAATAAGGGTTGTTTCTGATGAATGAAATACGCAATATCAAGCCAAGAATAGTGTATGTTTAAACACATTTTCGCTCTATTAATGTGAAGTTTGACTTAAATTTGATTTTCACCAAAATCAGAGTATGTATTTTGACAAAAGAAGCAATATAAAATTGTGCAGTTTATTTTTGCATCTATATGTAATAAAGATGAAATTCACGCTAACATGGCAAATTGGTCTCTCCAAAACGTACCCCAGGGAGCATCAACAATTAGTTTGCTATAGTCAAAATTCTACTTTCTAGTTGACGAGAAGTTTCCTTGACTTAACATATGTCCATACAATAAGCATGGATTTGCAATTTACCGTGCCTGTTGAGTTAGTTACATGTACATTACTGTGTTGTAAAGGTGACATTAGAACTAAAAGTGAAAACAGTGGTATTGTATATGTACCGTTGTAGTTTACTGTTTACCCATAGAAGTGAAATATGATATAATGCTACTATATTGTAGAATAGTATTGTCAGTGAAAGTCTGATGTGACACGTGACGTTAACTAGACCTATTGGTAAACACCTGGACCTTTATACATGAAACCGTTCTCATGCTCAAGCTTGGAGTTTGTGCCCAAGCCTGATTTTTGTTCCGGTTATAACTTGATAATACAAAGTCATTTTGTCAATGATTTGGAAAAACTTTGAAGAGTAAAGTCGAAAACTGTTTTCAATGTTTTCATTTGACGTTTTAATCGTTTGACATGATCTAAGCGAGTTACGAGAATATTTGTTTGAGCACGGCATAAATTATATGTTTACATTTTCATTTTCTTTCTTCAAATTAACAATGGTTTGTATTAATTTATCTTAAAGTTTTATCATCACGCGATAAAATCAACATATATCATATATCATGATATGTTCTTGTGTAACAAGATTTGTAAATTGTTTAATTTGAAAATTTGGTGATCTTTTTGTACCAATGTGTCTGTTGTGCTATCCACTTAAACTTGTGTTCCATAGCCTGATGGGTTTTCCAACATATTGGTATTGTACCAAAAACGTCATTTTAATCTGCATGCGTCTGCTCATTTTCCATCCCAACATATCTTTCGAAACTATTTGTGTTTAAAGTTCCCTATTTTACTGCAGACAAAAACAAAAGAACTTCATAGTAGGTTTTTTTTCATCTATAAAGTAGCCTTCCCTTAACTTTGTTTTGGATATAACTGTAGAGGGACCTGGCAAAGGAACTATCCCCTTAACCTCGTTTTGGATATAAATGTAGAGGGACATGGCCAAGGAACTACCCCATTAACCTCGTTTTGGATATAACTGTAGAGGGACCTGGCCAAGAAACTACCCCCTTAACCTCGTTTTGGATATAACTGTAGAGGGACCTGGCAAAGGAACTACCCCTTAACCTCGTTTTGGATATAACTGTAGAGGGACCTGGCCAAGGAACTACCCCATTAACCTCGTTTTGGATATAACTGTAGAGGGACCTGGCCAAGGAACTACCCCCTTAACCTCGTTTTTAATATAACTGTAGAGGGATCTGGTCAAGGAACTATCCCCTTAACCTCGTTTTGGATATAACTGTAGAGGGACCAGGCCAAGGAACTACCCCCTAAACCTCGTTTCGGATATAACTGTAGAGGGACCTAGCCAAGGAACTACAGAGGGACCTGGCAAAGGAACTAGCCCCTTAACCTGGTTTTGGATATAACTGTAGATGGACCAGGCCAAGTAACTACCCCCTAAACCTCGTTTCTGATATAACTGTAGAGGGACCGGGCCAAGGAACTACCCCCTAAACCTCGTTTTGGATATAACTGAAGAGGGACCTAGCCAAGGAACTACACAGGGACCTGGCAAAGGAACTAGCCCCTTAACCTCGTTTTGGATATAACTGTAGAGGGACCAGGCCAATGAACTACCCCCTAAACCTCGTTTCGGATATAACTGTAGAGGGACTTAGCTAAGGAACTACAGAGGGACCTGGCAAAGGAACTAGCCCCTTAACCTCGTTTTCGATATAACTGTAGAGGGACCTGGCCAAGGATCTACAGAGGGACCTGGCCAAGGAACTAGCCCCTTAACCTCGTTTTCGATATAACTGTAGAGGGACCTGGCCAAGGATCTACAGAGGGACCTGGCCAAGGAACTAGCCCCTTAACCTCGTTTTCGATATAACTGTAGAGGGACCTGGCCAAGGAACTACAGAGGGACCTGGCCAAGGGACTAGCCCCTTAACCTCGTTTTGGATATACCTGTAGAGGGACCTGGCCAAGGAACTACAGAGGGACCTGGCCAAGGGACTAGCCCCTTAACCTCGTTTTGGATATACCTGTAGAGGGACCTGGCCAAGGAACTACAGAGGGACCTGGCCAAGGGACTAGCCCCTTAACCTCGTTTTGGATATAACTGTAGAGGGACCTGGCCAAGGAACTACAGAGGGACCTCGCCAAGGAACTAGCACCTTAAACTCCTTTTGGATATAACTGTAGCGGGACCTGGCCAAGGAACTACCCCCTTAACCTCGGTTTGAATATAACTGTAGAGGGATCTGGTCAAGGAACTATCCCCTTGACCTCGTTTTGGATATAACTGTAGAGGGTCCTGGCCAAGGAACTACAGAGGGACCTGGCCAAGGGACTAGCCCCTTAACCTCGTTTTGGATATAACTGTAGAGGGACCTGGCCAAGGAACTATCCCCTTAACCTCATTTTGGATATAACTGTAGAAGGACCTGGTCAAGGAACTACCCCCCTTAACCTCGTTTTGGATAAAACTGTAGAAGGACCTGGCCAAGAAACTACCCCCTCAACCTCGCTTTGGCTATAACTGTAGAGGGACCTGGCCGAGGAACTACTGCTGAACACAGAGTTCCTGTGTATGATCAGAGGACCTGGGTTCGAATCCTAGGCTCGCATTTATGTAAACGTTCTATTGCTCAAGCATGGATTTTGTGCTCAAACCAATTGTTTTGTTACCCGCTTTAATCATGTGACACGATCGAAATATCAAGCGTAAACATTTTAAGCGTTATTCGACTGTTAGTCTTTGTACAATTATACAAATTAATTGACAAAAGTTAAATTTTATAAATTTATGACCAGGAGAAGAAATTGGGCTTGATCCCAGAATTTGGGTTTGAGCTTGAGATCAGTTTCATGAATACAGGCCCTCTTGTGGCTCCGTTTACTTTAGGAGTACTGTTGTTACTGCCTTTTTTAAATGCCATTCATTTTTTCTCCATAAAAGTTCTACTCTGAATCGGTTTCTTTTCATAAATAATTATAGTTAAAGTCATGCATTTAAAAAGTCTTCAATTTGAAGTTGCATTTTCTGGCAGTGGTACGGGAACCTTAAACATTCCCAATAAAAAGCATGTGAGCATATCGCCAATTCGATTCTGGTATTGCATGCCAGTACATGGCATATCCTTAAGTTTTTCATTATCCTCGAGAATTAAGTAATGATACATTTCATCAGTAAAATACGCAAAATGCACCGGGTTTGAAGACACCCTGCCTATTTGCGAGTTTATTAAAATGTGTACATCTTTAAAAAAAAAATAAGCAAGAATGGCACCGTTAAAAATAGCGAACCTCACATAACAATGTTAATCAAGTTTGTTAATTTGTAAGTAAAAATAATGAAAGCACATACATATTATTACTACACTACTCCATTATTAAGTGCTAAGATCTGATAGTTCTGTGGACATTGGGTTCGAAACCTCAGTATTTGCTGGACTATGGCCATTGTGCGTCACTTCCGTTGATAAGTTAGCCACGCTGACGTATTCGTCCTCAAACTCACTCACCCCTCGACACACCTTGAAGGTGAGCAATCGTCTGAACGCCATTCTGAAACCCCTGTTAAAGTTGTAATAGAGGAAGGGATTGAGCATGGAGTTGAGATACCCTAGCCACAGGGCCACTGTCCAAGGGATGTATGGAGTTGTGTAGCCAAGTATTGGGTCTATGATGTTAAGAATGAAAAAAGGAAACCAGCACACACAGAAACATCCCATAATGATCGAGATCGTCTTTGCAGCTTTGGTCTCCCGTTTGAATTTTCCAGTCTGGTGCTTGTGCAAGTGCAGTTCTAAACTACGGATATGTTTTGCTTGTTTTTCTGCTGCTAAAAATATTCGTACGTTGCACACAATCATAAATACTGTAGGGAGGTAAAAAGCTATAGTGGAACACACGACAGCAAACGTTGTGTTGACAAGGAAACCACAGGTTGTGTCATCCGGAAAAAAACACCCGTACAAATCCTCGATTCCGAACAGGTTCCACTCGTTCATTATAGGAACAAATGATATCAATATTGGCGTGAACCAACAACACACGATCATGCCAGCGATCACGGAATTGTTGAGTCGTTCATGTAGGAAGGGACGACAGATGGCGAGGTATCTGTCGATGGCGAGACAGGACAGATGTATGATGGAAGTCGTCGTAAACATAACGTCTAAACTCGTCGATACAAGACACAGTGTGTGGCCAAGCGCCCATGACTTATTGCTTAGCTGCTGATAGACTCCGAACGGCATGACCGATAGCGCCACCATGCAGTCGGCCAGCGCTAGCGACACAACGAACACATTGGTGATGGTGCGCAGGCGCTTATGCGTGAAAACAGCTACTATCACAAGCGCGTTTCCGAAAAATGTCAACACCGGAAATAACGTCAGGACGAGACCGAGTACCGCCCGAACCTCAATCGAATAAAATGGCGGGGGACCCGGTTTGCCCTCCAACAGGGCAGTGCAGTTCACTTCCGCCGTTGTATTTAGCATTCCGTGAACAACATCAAGTACACAATGGTAACTCGTCTATTCTACTATTGACACAGATTTGATGATTGTTACATCAAAGTGTCATTTGTAAACATGATTCTTTTATATTAAACGTTGGAACTTCTCGCGTTCTTTGTAACACTCCCAGTCCGTCCAATATCGTTGATATCTTTTGTAGCCCTCTGATGCGCACACGCAAAAACGGAATCAAGGCTAACTGGTGTTTTATCCCTGGTGTTGAATTCCAAAGTCACAGTTAGCGGTGTTGGTCTTAACTCGGAAAGGCTCTGAAAGGATAAAAAGGAGACGCTTTATGAAACATTTATGATGAAGAATTATAAGATACTGGGAATACACAAACAAAACAATTCCCAATCTCCATAATTTAACTATTTATTTATCTGTGCTGTTCATTATAATGCAACTGTCTAATTACCATAAAACATTAATCTAGTGGTGAGGGTTTAGTTAGGACAAATACCGACGAATACCTTGTCGACTGTCATGATGCATACTGTAAGTGTGAATTAAGATGTTCGTATTCTTATCTTTTTCTCACACACACATACCGACCGCAACATTTCAAATCCCATATTAATGTCCGGTCGAATTATACATGCAATGGAGTCTCGTTGCTCTGAAATAAATTCGTGAATGATATAAAAACATTTCTTAATGAAAGTGTTCCGTAAGACAACAACTGGGTCAACACCTCTTAGAAAATCGCGTCATCCTGCGCTATCCTCCTGTCAAAGCGGATTGTCTCATCTTCATCTTAATTTCCTGTCTTAAACCCCTAAAATACTGTAACCCCCTTTCTCTACCTCCTCTCCATTTATCTTTTATCTTCTTATCTTAAATTGTCATTCAGGCTTAACATCCAGTCTTTATCTCCTATCTTAATTCTTTCACAACCTTTTCACTTAAACCCCTTTCTTTACTTCGAGTCTTAACATCCTACATTAAGCAAATACCATATCTGGATCTACGCTCCGTTCTGTGACGTAGCAGAGTGCAGTTTACGGAACGGAGAACATAGATCAAGATATGCTCAGATTTCTTTTCTCCTGCCTGGAACTTATTTTACCTTTCTGTCATTATCTGTCTTCTTGGCTAATATGAACAGACTATCTTCACGTCCTACATGTGTCCTTAACCTTCTTTCTCGAACTAAAATCTTAGTCTCCTATCTTAACTGCCGTCTTAATCTACTGTGTTCACCTCTATTCTAAACCGCCTATCTAAACATCTTATCATAGCATATTCTAAACTCCTGTTTAAACATCTTATCATAGCCTATTCTAAATTCCTGTCTAAACATATTATCCTAGCCTATTCTAAACTCCTGTCTAAACATCTTATCGTAGCCTATTTTAAATTAAACCACCTGTCTAAACATCTTATTCTAGCCCAGTCAAAACTCCCGTTCAAACATCTTATCCTGGCCTATTCTAAACCGCCTGTCTAAACATGTTATAAACATATTATCATAGCCTATTCTAAACTCCCGTTTAAACATATTAGCATAGCCTATTCTAAACTCCCGTTTAAACATATTATCATAGCCTATTATAAATTCCTGTCTAAACATATTATCCTAGCCTATTCTAAACTCCCGTTTAAACATATTATCATAGCCTATTCTAAATTCCGGTCTAAACATATTATCATAGCCTGTTCAACATCTTAACCTAGCCTTTTCTAAATTCCTGTCTAAACATCTTATCATAGACTATTCTAAACTCCTGTCTAAATATCATTATCCAACCGCCTGTATGATCCTAATTTGCCCTATCTCATCCTTCGGCCTTAAATTACCTATATCTTAACCTCATGTCTTAGTCTGCTATCTATATACCGTTTATATTGACTTCTTATCTTAACTGTCTGTCTGAATATCCCCTGACCTATAACCCCTTATCTTTACCGCCGATTTTGAACGCCTATGTTAACTTTAAACCAGCTATCGTCTGTGTACAGTGTGTTAACTTTTGTGATATGATACCGGTTTCAATTAACTGAAGGACAACAGTTTGATTTGGTTTGGTTTGTTTGTGTTTTACGTCCTATTAACAGCTATGGTAATTTAAGGACGTGCCAGGGGTGCTTTTTTGGTAGAGGAAAGCCGGAGTTTCCGAGAAAAACCACCGACACAGACTACATGTAGTACCTGGCGACTGCTCCACGTAGGCCTCGAACCCGCGACCAAGTGGTGGAGAGCTAGTGGTAGCAGAATGTTGACGCCTTAACCACTTGGACACCGAGGCCCCGGAAAACAGTTTGAAACGGCATAGCATACGTCATATACAAATAGATTATCATATCTTTACATTTAGAAGGTACGTTACACCCTTATGAATTAAAAAAAAAGACAAACATGGTTCATGACAGTTTTAAAAAGTTTCTAAAAATTGATTGTCAAATATAACCCTGAGCTAAGAAGTCTTAAAGTTATATCTTTCGGGGTCAAAAATAAATCGTCTAACCTCGTCCATTTCCACGAAACCCCGGGCGTAGTACGTCTCTGTGCACAGAAAATTATGATAAAAATCAGAAAAAACTGGTTATGGGGAACAACAGCTGTGGTGCAGCGACGAGGGGGCCCGGGGCTAATCTTGGTGTTGTATTGGGGGCAAAGCTGTATGCAGCGACAAACGGGCCCGGGCCCCCCGGGGCTTCTATTGGGATGCTCTCTAACATTTCTTACATCAATTTAAAGAAAACAAAAATGTTTTCCCTGTTGTATTTAAAAGTTTCAATTATGAAAACAATGAAAACATAGTAGATGTCTTTATTTTGCGTTATAGAATTAAGGTCGAGACGAACATNTCCTGGCCAAGGAACTACAGAGGGACCTCGCCAAGGAACTAGCCCCTTAAACTCCTTTTGGATATAACTGTAGAGGGACCTGGCCAAGGAACTACCCCCTTAACCTCGTTTTGAATATAACTGTAAAGGGATCTGGTCAAGGAACTATCCCCTTAACCTCGTTTTGGATATAACTGTAGAGGGACCAGGCCAAGGAACTACCCCCTAAACCTCGTTTTGGATATAACTGTAGAGGGACCTGGCCAAGGAACTACCCCCTAAACCTCGTTTTGAATATAACTGTAGAGGGACCAGGCCAAGGAACTACCCCCTTAACCTCGTTTTGGATATAACTGTAGAGGGACCAGGCCAAGGAACTACCCCCTAAACCTCGTTTTGGATATAACTGTAGAGGGACCTGGCCAAGGAACTACCCCCTTAACCTCGTTTTGAATATAACTGTAGAGGGATCTGGTCAAGGAACTATCCCCTTAACCTCGTTTTGGATATAACTGTAGAGGGACCAGGCCAAGGAACTACCCCCTAAACCTCGTTTTGGATATAACTGTAGAGGGACCTGGCCAAGGAACTACCCCCTTAACCTCGTTTTGAATATAACTGTAGAGGGATCTGGTCAAGGAACTATCCCCTTAACCTCGTTTTGGATATAACTGTAGAGGGACCAGGCCAAGGAACTACCCCCTAAACCTCGTTTTGGATATAACTGTAGAGGGACCTGGCCAAGGAACTATCCCCTTAACCTCATTTTGGATATAACTGTAGAAGGACCTGGTCAAGGAACTACCCCCCTTAACCTCGTTTTGGATAAAACTGTAGAAGGACCTGGCCAAGAAACTACCCCCTCAACCTCGCTTTGGCTATAACTGTAGAGGGACCTGGCCGAGGAACTACTGCTGAACACAGAGTTCCTGTGTATGATCAGAGGACCTGGGTTCGAATCCTAGGCTCGCATTTATGTAAACGTTCTATTGCTCAAGCATGGATTTTGTGCTCAAACCAATTGTTTTGTTACCCGCTTTAATCATGTGACACGATCGAAATATCAAGCGTAAACATTTTAAGCGTTATTCGACTGTTAGTCTTTGTACAATTATACAAATTAATTGACAAAAGTTAAATTTTATAAATTTATGACCAGGAGAAGAAATTGGGCTTGATCCCAGAATTTGGGTTTGAGCTTGAGATCAGTTTCATGAATACAGGCCCTCTTGTGGCTCCGTTTACTTTAGGAGTACTGTTGTTACTGCCTTTTTTAAATGCCATTCATTTTTTCTCCATAAAAGTTCTACTCTGAATCGGTTTCTTTTCATAAATAATTATAGTTAAAGTCATGCATTTAAAAAGTCTTCAATTTGAAGTTGCATTTTCTGGCAGTGGTACGGGAACCTTAAACATTCCCAATAAAAAGCATGTGAGCATATCGCCAATTCGATTCTGGTATTGCATGCCAGTACATGGCATATCCTTAAGTTTTTCATTATCCTCGAGAATTAAGTAATGATACATTTCATCAGTAAAATACGCAAAATGCACCGGGTTTGAAGACACCCTGCCTATTTGCGAGTTTATTAAAATGTGTACATCTTTAAAAAAAAAATAAGCAAGAATGGCACCGTTAAAAATAGCGAACCTCACATAACAATGTTAATCAAGTTTGTTAATTTGTAAGTAAAAATAATGAAAGCACATACATATTATTACTACACTACTCCATTATTAAGTGCTAAGATCTGATAGTTCTGTGGACATTGGGTTCGAAACCTCAGTATTTGCTGGACTATGGCCATTGTGCGTCACTTCCGTTGATAAGTTAGCCACGCTGACGTATTCGTCCTCAAACTCACTCACCCCTCGACACACCTTGAAGGTGAGCAATCGTCTGAACGCCATTCTGAAACCCCTGTTAAAGTTGTAATAGAGGAAGGGATTGAGCATGGAGTTGAGATACCCTAGCCACAGGGCCACTGTCCAAGGGATGTATGGAGTTGTGTAGCCAAGTATTGGGTCTATGATGTTAAGAATGAAAAAAGGAAACCAGCACACACAGAAACATCCCATAATGATCGAGATCGTCTTTGCAGCTTTGGTCTCCCGTTTGAATTTTCCAGTCTGGTGCTTGTGCAAGTGCAGTTCTAAACTACGGATATGTTTTGCTTGTTTTTCTGCTGCTAAAAATATTCGTACGTTGCACACAATCATAAATACTGTAGGGAGGTAAAAAGCTATAGTGGAACACACGACAGCAAACGTTGTGTTGACAAGGAAACCACAGGTTGTGTCATCCGGAAAAAAACACCCGTACAAATCCTCGATTCCGAACAGGTTCCACTCGTTCATTATAGGAACAAATGATATCAATATTGGCGTGAACCAACAACACACGATCATGCCAGCGATCACGGAATTGTTGAGTCGTTCATGTAGGAAGGGACGACAGATGGCGAGGTATCTGTCGATGGCGAGACAGGACAGATGTATGATGGAAGTCGTCGTAAACATAACGTCTAAACTCGTCGATACAAGACACAGTGTGTGGCCAAGCGCCCATGACTTATTGCTTAGCTGCTGATAGACTCCGAACGGCATGACCGATAGCGCCACCATGCAGTCGGCCAGCGCTAGCGACACAACGAACACATTGGTGATGGTGCGCAGGCGCTTATGCGTGAAAACAGCTACTATCACAAGCGCGTTTCCGAAAAATGTCAACACCGGAAATAACGTCAGGACGAGACCGAGTACCGCCCGAACCTCAATCGAATAAAATGGCGGGGGACCCGGTTTGCCCTCCAACAGGGCAGTGCAGTTCACTTCCGCCGTTGTATTTAGCATTCCGTGAACAACATCAAGTACACAATGGTAACTCGTCTATTCTACTATTGACACAGATTTGATGATTGTTACATCAAAGTGTCATTTGTAAACATGATTCTTTTATATTAAACGTTGGAACTTCTCGCGTTCTTTGTAACACTCCCAGTCCGTCCAATATCGTTGATATCTTTTGTAGCCCTCTGATGCGCACACGCAAAAACGGAATCAAGGCTAACTGGTGTTTTATCCCTGGTGTTGAATTCCAAAGTCACAGTTAGCGGTGTTGGTCTTAACTCGGAAAGGCTCTGAAAGGATAAAAAGGAGACGCTTTATGAAACATTTATGATGAAGAATTATAAGATACTGGGAATACACAAACAAAACAATTCCCAATCTCCATAATTTAACTATTTATTTATCTGTGCTGTTCATTATAATGCAACTGTCTAATTACCATAAAACATTAATCTAGTGGTGAGGGTTTAGTTAGGACAAATACCGACGAATACCTTGTCGACTGTCATGATGCATACTGTAAGTGTGAATTAAGATGTTCGTATTCTTATCTTTTTCTCACACACACATACCGACCGCAACATTTCAAATCCCATATTAATGTCCGGTCGAATTATACATGCAATGGAGTCTCGTTGCTCTGAAATAAATTCGTGAATGATATAAAAACATTTCTTAATGAAAGTGTTCCGTAAGACAACAACTGGGTCAACACCTCTTAGAAAATCGCGTCATCCTGCGCTATCCTCCTGTCAAAGCGGATTGTCTCATCTTCATCTTAATTTCCTGTCTTAAACCCCTAAAATACTGTAACCCCCTTTCTCTACCTCCTCTCCATTTATCTTTTATCTTCTTATCTTAAATTGTCATTCAGGCTTAACATCCAGTCTTTATCTCCTATCTTAATTCTTTCACAACCTTTTCACTTAAACCCCTTTCTTTACTTCGAGTCTTAACATCCTACATTAAGCAAATACCATATCTGGATCTACGCTCCGTTCTGTGACGTAGCAGAGTGCAGTTTACGGAACGGAGAACATAGATCAAGATATGCTCAGATTTCTTTTCTCCTGCCTGGAACTTATTTTACCTTTCTGTCATTATCTGTCTTCTTGGCTAATATGAACAGACTATCTTCACGTCCTACATGTGTCCTTAACCTTCTTTCTCGAACTAAAATCTTAGTCTCCTATCTTAACTGCCGTCTTAATCTACTGTGTTCACCTCTATTCTAAACCGCCTATCTAAACATCTTATCATAGCATATTCTAAACTCCTGTTTAAACATCTTATCATAGCCTATTCTAAATTCCTGTCTAAACATATTATCCTAGCCTATTCTAAACTCCTGTCTAAACATCTTATCGTAGCCTATTTTAAATTAAACCACCTGTCTAAACATCTTATTCTAGCCCAGTCAAAACTCCCGTTCAAACATCTTATCCTGGCCTATTCTAAACCGCCTGTCTAAACATGTTATAAACATATTATCATAGCCTATTCTAAACTCCCGTTTAAACATATTAGCATAGCCTATTCTAAACTCCCGTTTAAACATATTATCATAGCCTATTATAAATTCCTGTCTAAACATATTATCCTAGCCTATTCTAAACTCCCGTTTAAACATATTATCATAGCCTATTCTAAATTCCGGTCTAAACATATTATCATAGCCTGTTCAACATCTTAACCTAGCCTTTTCTAAATTCCTGTCTAAACATCTTATCATAGACTATTCTAAACTCCTGTCTAAATATCATTATCCAACCGCCTGTATGATCCTAATTTGCCCTATCTCATCCTTCGGCCTTAAATTACCTATATCTTAACCTCATGTCTTAGTCTGCTATCTATATACCGTTTATATTGACTTCTTATCTTAACTGTCTGTCTGAATATCCCCTGACCTATAACCCCTTATCTTTACCGCCGATTTTGAACGCCTATGTTAACTTTAAACCAGCTATCGTCTGTGTACAGTGTGTTAACTTTTGTGATATGATACCGGTTTCAATTAACTGAAGGACAACAGTTTGATTTGGTTTGGTTTGTTTGTGTTTTACGTCCTATTAACAGCTATGGTAATTTAAGGACGTGCCAGGGGTGCTTTTTTGGTAGAGGAAAGCCGGAGTTTCCGAGAAAAACCACCGACACAGACTACATGTAGTACCTGGCGACTGCTCCACGTAGGCCTCGAACCCGCGACCAAGTGGTGGAGAGCTAGTGGTAGCAGAATGTTGACGCCTTAACCACTTGGACACCGAGGCCCCGGAAAACAGTTTGAAACGGCATAGCATACGTCATATACAAATAGATTATCATATCTTTACATTTAGAAGGTACGTTACACCCTTATGAATTAAAAAAAAAGACAAACATGGTTCATGACAGTTTTAAAAAGTTTCTAAAAATTGATTGTCAAATATAACCCTGAGCTAAGAAGTCTTAAAGTTATATCTTTCGGGGTCAAAAATAAATCGTCTAACCTCGTCCATTTCCACGAAACCCCGGGCGTAGTACGTCTCTGTGCACAGAAAATTATGATAAAAATCAGAAAAAACTGGTTATGGGGAACAACAGCTGTGGTGCAGCGACGAGGGGGCCCGGGGCTAATCTTGGTGTTGTATTGGGGGCAAAGCTGTATGCAGCGACAAACGGGCCCGGGCCCCCCGGGGCTTCTATTGGGATGCTCTCTAACATTTCTTACATCAATTTAAAGAAAACAAAAATGTTTTCCCTGTTGTATTTAAAAGTTTCAATTATGAAAACAATGAAAACATAGTAGATGTCTTTATTTTGCGTTATAGAATTAAGGTCGAGACGAACATTGTTTTAACGAAGGTGTATCTGTATACATGTATATGATTTAGATACCTTTTTGATTTTACAATATGTACAGGTAAATGTGTATTTACACCAACGCGGTAGAAGATTGTGTCTGTTTTGCAAGCTAACATAGCATTAACAAAAACACAGCTTAAAACTCATCTCAGTTTTCTTCAGTTCGCATCATTGATTAACTACTCTTAGGGGTTTTTCGTATTACAACTCGGCGTAGAGTGGCAGAGTTCAGAACAAAGACGGTCAGTAATTACATTCCCCCGGTGTGTCTTACAGGAAGGGCTTATAGGAATTAAAGTTATGAGGAATCCGTGAAAAAAATCGTGATCACATTTTCTAGCCAAATGTTTATGAGCGCTATTAATTATCAGATAGATTTTCTTTGAAGATTCCCCAAAGTGACGAACTCGTAATAAAAACTGTATCTACGTATGATATTATTTTTTATGGTAAATGCCTATCTCCTCAAAACAGAATTGATGTCTATCACTTTGAAGTTTGTAAATTGAACATACGCGTCCACTCGTGTTCTCAAATAGTTTCTGGTTTTGATAAATAGTGTCACATTTGCTAAAAATAACCCCAAAAGTTACTGCGAGATTTGATCCCTTGGTTATGGTAATTGGGGGAAATTAAGAACATGTGTTATTAGTATTTTTAGCTACATGTAACGTATGGTTATGAGGCTACGTGTACATGTATGCCCATTCTCGAGGCTTAGCCGAGAGAAATAGGGCTAGTCATTGGGAACTACAAACCTTCTTACATATATCTTCAAATGCCCATACTTTAAATGTGTAATCTTCAAATGACCATACTTTAACTGTGTAATATTCAAATGGCCATACTTTAACTGTGTAATTTTCAAATGGCCATATATTAACTGTGTGATCTTCAAATGGCCGTACTTTAACTGCGCAATCTTAAATGGCCATATATTAACTGTGTGCTCTTCAAATGACCATATATTAACTGTGTGATCTTCAAATGGCCATACTTCAACTGCGCAATCTTCAAATGGCCATACTTTAACTGCGCAATCTTCAAATGGCCATATTTTAACTGCGCAATATTCAAATGGCCATACTTTAACTGTATAATCTTCTAATGAAAAAAACTTTAACTGTGTAATTATTTTAACAATGTGTCATATATTTATTTCCATGCAAAAAATAAAATGTGCTTGTACACTATTTTTCCATGAGGGACCACAAATAAGTTGTATAAGAAAAACAATAACCTTACACCCCTTCAGTTCCTTAAGAATTTTCCTTAAATCACCAAAATGATTCCCTATGGGGAAACAACTTTCGCTAATGGATAGGCCTTAGATCAGGAACACTTGGACTTTTTAAAAAGACACATATTCCCCCGAACATAGACTCGATCAGCACTCAGCTTCGTTAGCCTCACCAGATGGCGGGAAATAGTCGCTGTCGTCTGCCGATAGCGGAATGCGCCAGCTGACAGGCTATCGGCGCTCTATGTGCGGGAGCGCCCCGCAGTACTGCACAATTACATGTCATTAATGTGGGAAATAACACAGGCGATGAAGGCTAATAGCAGTGATAAGATATCTGAATAAAAACAGCGTTTATACTAGGGCTATTTTTATAAAACATTAGGCGTCAGCAGTTAGCGTGATATGATGTAGCCGCGTAAAGAAAACAAAAGGCATTACAATACATAGATGTGTAGCAAGTCTCGTCACTATAAACAGACTACTTCGCCTGTGGTGGGGGCCGAGCATGTTGTAGAGCCTAACTTTAGTAAATCTTTGAAATCAAAGCTTAATCTTCACTATGAAGATGACAGATTTTCAACACTGATAGTGGGAAAGCTAAGATGACCCACCGTTGTAAATAGAAAATATTATTTCTTTCAATTTTAAGATGGACTGTTCTGAAAAACCGAACAATTTAGTAGTACTTACCTAGAACAAAGTGCATAAACTAATGTTACCCCGCCCCCGACCTCTAATCTCTTCCCTCGTTAACTACAGGGACATGACTGTATTTTAGAGCGTGCCGTATCAGATGGTTTGTCTACAATGTCGCTGGTATGTCTTACAGATGAATATAGTTTGGAATGAATGAAACAGTTCATACACTGTTCACTCAAAGTGACATCGTTCTCGTCCAGAAGTCCACATAAATAACTCTGATTGATATGAACGGTAACATTTGGCCAGCTTTGAAGTTGAGGTGTCGAGGAATATAAACACTTGGCATTCCGTTGACGGTAGCTATCAGAGTCTGAAAAGATCCCGGGGGTGGGCTACTCGTCAATGTCAGACACGGGACAGGGCGGTGAAAAGGAGCAGAAGAACCAGAAGAGGCCTCGATTATGTAATTATGTGATCGCGGACTACTTGACATTACGGCAAAGCTCTTTGCACATTGCCTGCTTATATTTCCGCCCCCTGGCGTCTGATACTGTTTGTCATATACATTTACAATGCATACATATTATAACACCATATAGCGCCTCTATCAATTGTAATTATGTTTTATTTTTCAAAATTAGTTAAAGTTAAAATAAAACGGAAATGCACGGTACATGTATCTAGATCGTTATATTTACCTGTGTTCCTATTGTTAGCTTTTATTAATAACAGTCTCGCCACATTGATTTAAAATTTACATAGAAAATAAATCGATAAGTATTTACAATTCATACAGACAAAATTGATAAATGAAGACGAGGCATTTGTTATATTTTTATCCTACTTATTTTTACATATCAGATTTATCACTCACCTTCAAATGTAGGTTTTTTCGAGATTAAAGGAAAAACTCCTTTTGGCGAGTTAGTCGTTTTTTGATAAATCTAAAAAAATGTTACGTAATGTAACAACAGCAGTCTAAAAGGGGTTGACGAAGATCAAAGGAGGTGATAGTCAGAAGAAGACAAATGAACATGTTACACCAAATCTCTTTATCTCTTTCGCAGATCAGACAAGTGTTCGTTTCTGGAACAGATTAGCATTCAAGGACGATACAATTGATATAGCAGATTGGGAAGATGCTAAAAATACACATATTTTACGAGAAAGTGAGAGCAAATTTGAATTAAATAATAACTTGTCATCAGATGTGAATCAAAAAGGATGGTTTAATGTTCCTTTTGACGTCTCGTGATGAATAATAAAACAGCAATACAGACATTTCGACAAATAAATAGCAATGCATATGTTTAAGAGAAATTTGTCATGTGCATTTAAATCAGAATTTTGACATTGAAATTGGACAAAGGTTGTTTTCCCCCTTCACACATCATAAATGTCTTTGAATAAGTTTGGCATTAGTAGAAAATATTTGTCAAACAAAAGTAGCAAATATGTGTCGAATGAAAAATTGTACATCTAACTAAGAATTTTGTCATTATAATTGGACAGATTTAACAATGAAGTGATAATGACGTCATCAACATTATGACGTCTTTAAGTCATGGTAACGTAGCCTCGTTCTGGTGCATGGTGCTGTTGTGAATTCAAACATGGTTGAGCAGTATGGAGACATTGACGAAATTTGCGGAGATATTACGGAGGTATCACAAAACATTGTGATGAATCAAGCGACTGCATTTACCGGAGATTTGTACACGTAAGAAACTCTCAAATATCTGTCAAATGAAATCGCGTCATTCCTTTGTTTCCGGTGCTTTTTGACATACTCCATTTCCACCTTATTTAGCCGTTCGGTTTGGTTTGACAACGATTATCCACGAATGTAAATATAGTTATACAGACCATCCATGTTTTCAATTATTATTTAAATCTCAGTGTGGCAGTGCGAACTGTAAAATCAAAGATCACAATAACAAAATTATGTATATACTTGAGGCAAAAATGAAAGATAAAGATATATTTCTTTGTTTTGAGTGTTTTTGATAGCTGTAACCATTAGCATTTGATGGAATGTCCATGAAATCAGTTCAAATGACAATTCCTGGGTGCTAACGTAAAATAAAACATAGATATACGCCCCTTTCCTGATGTATGACGATAGCAATACAGTATATTACGGTCATTTTCTTGCTCAAGGAAGAAATATTGTTGGTTTATTCAAACGTACTTGAATTCACGAACTTATCCTTACTTGTTTGAAAACATTTGATCTGTTCCATTATTTTCTTCGTTTTCAGCGGAAATAAAGACATGTTTCCGCGAGTTAAAACGTTTATAAACAAAACATATTCGTTTGTTACCTTCATCCTTTCCCTGTTCTCGGGACACCGCGTCTATCCATGGGCGCCGCCATTTTCGGTTTTGAAATCAGTTAAATTTGGCGCCACCTAGCGGTCATAATTTTTGGCGTCAAAAGTTTTTGGCGTCAAAACTTTCGGATTAGTTATATCAGTTTTCTAGCAGGATAATTTTACTTCGCCATTGAAAAAGATAACTGAAATTCAACAATTAAAGAGCGTAGTACTATACGCCTTTTGTTTTTACCAGTAATGATAAATGTTTGATAAAGAAAATAATATATAAGATTTTTATGCAGTGAACATGAACTTTTCAAATGTAATAATGGTAGTTTTTCGTGTTTACTGTTTTTCTTCTTGATACATCATGTTCTGTTTAAATAAATATACATTTTGTGTGTATATATGCATATCCATCGGATGGGGACGTACACTATCGAGCTATGTGTTGCGCAGAAACAGTCTTTTATACTCTGGTGGTATTGTGCACATATTTGATACATACACATCATTACAATGAAGTTTATATTAGAGTAAACAGGTCATTACACAACACAAGCGTTTCTTCAGCGTGTAGTGTGTCGAATGTTAGACACATTTGACCCCTGAATGTAACTGGCATCATATACAGTGTATATAGACGATACATCGATTTGACCCGCCGTGGTCGGCCGTGTGGTTTTGGGCGTTTAATAAACCTTTGAACCCTGGTTTGCTTTTTTCGGCATGGGTTCGACTGACGTGTTGGGGCAACTTTTTTCGAACCAAAAGAGATTAACAAACTGTCACAAATACTTTTAGGGTTGTTATTTCCGAAAGGGGCTATTGCCTTGTGTTTAACACAAAGATCTTTCTTGAATTTCGACGTGAACGTTTGCTCCAACAGTATCACCTATGCTATGCCTTAACCTTTTGATCAAAGTGCGATTACCGAGTGAAATTATGTGTTGTACAAAATTGGAGTTTTGTGATATGCATCCATTGCTTATTTGGCCATGCATGGTGACCACATGCAGTTTCTTGAAGGGAATACCGACGAAGTGTTTCGAAACCTTTCAATCACAAAGACTGATCGAATCATTTCGGGCATCACTTTTGGTAAAACTACAAAGCATGATCAAATATAGTCTGTTTGGTAGACTCTTAGTCAAGTAGGGCAACACTAATGTAAAACCACAATGCATGACCATCTATAGGCTGTTTGTTAGTCTCGTAGTCATGCAGGTCATCAATAATGTGTATCTCTTTGTCGAGGAAGGTTAACGTTCAAACATTTTCACGCAATAAAATGCCGAGAAGAAATAAAGAAGATAATAAAATGTTTTATGACTCCAGTCTCACATTTTTAAACGTCATAAACGTATACGGTTCAATAGTCAAAATGAATTCAATAAATAACGTAGGATAACATCTCACTAAGTTAGAGAAAATTATATGTTTCACATTGAATTTACTTCCTTGACAAGTTGTCATGAACTTCCGTTCGGCAACAAACGAATCTAGAGTGTTAACATCCGGAAACCATCTTGGTCAGACCATGTCTTAATCACCAGTGACCCTATAAATAGACACTTGACATCGTCAGACGTTAGACTATATTAATTTTAACGTACACATACTTCAAGTGTTCCCAATGTTCAGAGCTGGTCGCATATAGGATTTCAGAGCGTGACTGTAACTATTTAAGGGGATGGTGTCTGACCTATTTCTGTAAAACAATCAGGCCTCACGAGGGTTTAAAGTAAAAAGACACCAACACTGTCATAAGATGAAGTGGAATTTCCATCCTCCCGGCATGTTGCTACAATCACATACACACCACACATATATCGATCTCAGTAGTTGATTGGGCATGATCGATCTTTTTATATATAATTCATCAATGAGTTAATCATTCCTGTTCAAAGCTACACACACACACACCGACTAATATTAACTGATAATGAATAATCGCCGATTCCTTTTGAAGTAGTCGTTTGTAGTCATTTCAATTGTGCGTACAACAAACAAAGAGGGAATAATTTAATTACACATTTTTATTATACACTACGAAGTTATTTTCAAGATGTTATGACTAATTACAGTATTTAGTGATTGTGAATTGATTACTTAAATCCAACTTTACTCGAATCAAATCCCTAGAATATGTGGAGACCATGAACTCATCGATCTGACAGAATTTACTACGAAACTTCAGCGAAGCTTTACCACGCATACAACATCGTAAGATCATTACTGGGTTATTTAAATTTCAAGGTTGCTAAGCACAGAGTTACACGTGAGTTTCTATTCCTTAATCAGTCTGAAAATAGCGAAGTGTTCCTGCTTACATTGAACTGTTCCATCTCAAGTTTAACTATAAGGGATAATATGTGTATCATTTCGTGTAAATTTTTAAAGAACATTGCACAACGAGCGCAAATAGCGTTACGGAAAAAATAATACCATATTTAAAAGGACGTCGTCCTGAGCTCAAATACATGTAGACAAACATACCTTACGGAAAGTTAAACCTTCCAGGTCCACTACAACGTGTACACATGTTATAAGTCCGACGTTATAACACGTTTCTTCAGTCGCTGTAACTATCCTCAACTCTGTTATACTGCTAACTCGTAAATCCAACAATTTCTATAACTCGGCACAGTTTGATCACCATCTCAAGACAAACACACTTTTCCTTTTTTAAAGCATCGGTCTGTGTTGACATACACCGACCAGACACGTTAGTGTAATTACGAATTCGAATCTCGTATAAAATGAATAAACCTGGTATTAGCGCTGTAATAGAATCAGTGGTTTTCATTGATCATATCCACTATCAGCGATCCTATGTGATACTCGGCGTTCGCCAGTCATTGTATTTACGCTTTGTTGTTGTATTACAATCATAAAATAAAATGTTTCACAAGTACTGAGATGTGTGGAATGATCCAAGTGACGTCAGGGCTATATTTCCACTCCCCTCGATAGGTTGACTTATCGAACACGCCTTTTCTTCGATATCGATAATCTTCTCTGGTTTAGAGGTCCAATAAAACTAACAGCGTTGTTAAGCTTTTTGTCGACATTGGTTACAGCTCACTGCCGCTGTTTTGTGACTAATCAGTATCGAACGCGCCTGATCACGATCGAAACAAATGCACATGTATATCATGCAACACTTTCTTAAGTTCTATCATATCTTCGAATCAATATGAATGTAGACTGTGTGACAACAACCTGACTCTGCCATCGGAGGTGTAATCACATTGTTAAAAGTCGGATTTCAGCTTTGTCCCATACAAAGTTAAAAAATATATATATAATCCCGTGCGCTACCCCGAGCCTTCCAAACAGAAATGGAGAAACTCTCTTTTACAACAGATATTCTACTCCCGAGTCTCAATAACCCAGAGAGGCTCCACATGGGGCGCTGTAGTTAGCACAAATATCATAAGTAGTTATGCTGCAATTGTCGGTAAAAAAATTAGCTCCCCTAACGACCTCCCGCCGGCGTGTTATGTTAACGCAATGGTATTTTTGTCATGTACAGAATGGGGGATTCGAGGTACGCCAGGACTTGCGGGGGGAAAACTCATCCAGTTAGACAATGCTACAGGCAGCTCTAATGTAACATCACCGTATTGCATCCATGTCTCAACATCCAACAACAAACCGTTATTTGTATCTCTGGCAAACCCATATATCTACTGTAAGAGGATTCCTCAAACTTGTCTAGAGCAGATGGAATATTGTGTATGTTCCCGTGTGTACACCCAGCGTCCAACATGTAATACACCACTAATACTTAGGTAATTCGTCAGAACTGATACAGGTCGGCTCTCGGTGTTGAAAGTAGAATTCCTTTTGCTAAAACGATTTTCAGTATTTTAATGTACACCAATCCAAATCATGTTGCCAAAACCTCAACTAGTTGCTTTGTAACTTAAACCAGATCGTTGAAACAAGAATTCGGGTCTTATGGTAGAATCAATCTTCTTTTAGAAAACAAGTGCTCTCCGTTCACAATCAGATTGCAGCATGTCACAACATACAACACACATGTGCAAAATCTTCTACCCTATAAAAACGTCATTATGTACTAATATTATATACACAGCTTAGCTGCACCGTGTGAAAATGCAACGCTGATAAGTCTCTTGATGGTCTGCACGTTTTTGATTCGATATCAAACAAGCAACAGAGACACTTGTCAAACAATTAACGCCCGATATCAAACAAGCAACAGAGACACTTGTCAAACAATTAACGCGCTCTCATACATTTTCCTTTTGAAACGTTAGCACGACTTCCACTTTCCCAATAAAGGTTCCGAAGCCTTGCTATGTGAGTGTTTGTATATAACTACGATCATCTTTAGATTGACGGAATTCATTGATCGGTAACGATCTTGCCGGTCCATGTGCTTGAGTGAACTATACCCGTATACGACAGAAACACGACAGGACACCAACGGACGCCATTACGCCCACAAAAGACAACGGCGTTGAGAAAATAAATCTAATTTGATTTAACAGAAGACTTTAAATTACATTTAATGTTGACCATCAAAACAGCACCGGGGCACAATGTACGTGATATGTACGTCAATATGTAAAAGACGAACAGGTATAGGAACATACTTATATGTAATTAATTCCACAATGTTCTACATAGATTGCTTATTTGTATACGTTTCCGATGAATACATAATATTTAGAGATCAGAGACAAAACAAGGAATGACTTATCAAATAATTCTGTATTGTCGTGTAAATGGCAACAGTGCAATGACAAAGTTTCCAATAGGACAAAAGAACAGCGCGAAATGTAACACCACCATGAATGGCGTATAACCAGCCTTAGTACAGCTAAACCATTTAAATGGCCATTACGATAAAGTTTGCAAATAAAAATAGCAAGCCATTTCTTGAACACAATGAAATGCTACTTTGGCAAAAATCATTGACGTAAGGTTTCGTCAAAGGATCGCGCTCCTTAATGGCGCGATCATCAAAGACTAAGGCGACCTCTATAGCTACCCACTGGCCATTTGTAAAATAAACAAGGATTTTCCTCGATTATTCAAGATAGCAATTTGGGTTTTTAAATTTAAGAACGAAAATGGAATTCTTTTGTTAGAATACTCCAGAGTATTTTTTTTTTTTTTTGAAAGTCAATCCTCTATACAAAACGTTTATTTGCTTGAAAATCTCTTCAAAGGATTTTTGATAATTACAACAAAAGATGACTACATGAACATTGGGTCATATCAAAAATATAATTATGATTTAATAGACAAAAGTACGGGCTTACGAATAACAGGAAAACCTGGGTGTGCCATCTGTCAAACCAGTAGCCAAGAAAAGAAAGGAAAGGAAAAAAGATAATGTCATAAATGCATTCCATTATTGACTAAATACTTATAATACTATGACATCCTTTCCGAAATATCTAAGATGCCATGTTCGTCTATTACTTCCAATCCGGTATTTCCGGGGTTATGTTGTGGCACGGTATAAAACAAATTTAAGAAAGCAGCTTTGACTTCAAACGTCAAAATAGTAAAAAATACTATCATAAATTGTCACTCTTGAACTCTTTATTTTCCGGCCATAACGTTTACTCTTTGACGCTATACAAAAACGAGTACTTCCTAAGTGTAGGGAGCCAATTAGTACCAACGATGTAAACCGCTCAAGAGAGGAAGAAAAAAAGGGAAAAAATCAATTCTTATCGACATTAGGCATATAATACATGTATTGACTAAATACGGTGGTTACGTTTGGTTTGGTTTTATATTGTTTAACGTTCTATTAACAGCTAAGGTCATTTAAGGACGTGCCTCCATGTGTGTTGTGTATGCGTGCATGTGTGCCGGAGACACGGTATGTTTGTGTACGTGCCTCCTTGTGATAGCGCGGATCTGATGCCAACATCATAGTGCTATCTCACTGAAATACCATGCCGCAGGCACCCAACACTGCGTTCTGCCCGGTGACAACGGGGATAATAAACGCTATCTTTATCCTGAAATCGTTTTCGACGTCTGGATTTAGATGTTTAACTTCTGATTGCTAGTTTATTAACAAGGTTTTTTGATGAAGGATGCATGCAGTTATAAATTGAAGAAAACTAGTTCATCCTGTCTTATTTTGCTTTTTGCGGTCAATTCTAACATATCATGTGTTATTTATTACGACCGACAGGATATGTTTATATTTGCTTTCATATATAATATATTACAGAGCCATTTTACCATGGGGCGTTGAAGTGTTTTGAGTTGAAACGTATATTTACAGTTTTAGGGAGTACAGCTACATGTACATGTATATGTATATGCATTGCGGTGCCTCTTTTCATTATATAGAGCAATTTGTGCTAGTTTCAGCAGTGGTTATTGCAGCCCCCCCATCATGCCAATGCTCAAGTATGTTATGACTTAAACAAACTTGTACAATTACCAACAAGTACTAGGGAACTACTTAAACATCTAAGGCAGCCGGCGACCTTCTACAACTAATGTCTAGTTATGTATTCAGACCAAGACGGACCGACCCATTACTAGCAAATCGGATCGGAATAAAAGATAAGGAAAGTATGCATATTTCTGTATTGAAAGCGACTGTGCAGACAAGACAAGACATTGATTTAGATATCGGATAAATTTTTTTATCTGGCATTTCCATACGGATAAAACTTTGTTGTGAGACTGTTGAAAGTTTATGCACAGACAAGTTGATAGTGAAGTGTATATAACTGCTGGAAAAGGAGAGAAAGAGTACAGCAGGTCTATCATCAAGCACAAAAGGTGGGGTTTTTTTTGCACGGTAACCGAAAACAAGATTTTATATAAGTCGAATTCGAACCATAGACGCAATTATTGGCAATGTTACTAATTCAATTTAGCGCGAACTTTGACAAAACAACAGCGCTCTCATACGGAGCTACAGTAATTTACAACAAATGAGTAAAAATATTAATGTATTTTGTGTGTTTCGTACAAAGACGACCTACATACATTCCTAAACGAAAACTAACTCATTGTTTTGGCTTACTAAGACTCTCACGAATTTAGCTCACAGAGACAACAAAAAGATGCTGATTACGAGTTTTGTCGCGAGGGAACACCCCCTTTCCACAACTAAAACAACACTAATGATGTCTGCCGCTGGCACCTCTCTTTCCTACCAAAATATGTTCTTTTGGGGGATGCAGAGCCTTTCTTCCCCGTACCGCAACGTCATTGATAAGGTCTACTACCACGTTGAACTAAGAGCTTTTCTTTCCCAGACCATGACGTCACCGAAGCCGTCTACTACATGTTCCACGTGGGACCTAGGAGTTCTCTTTTCCAGACCATGACGTCACTGATGACGTCGCCTACCTCCAGGGACCTAGGACTTCTCTTTCCCATACCATGACGTCACTGATGCCGTCTTCTACCACGTGTGAACTAAGACGCCTCTTTTCTGCACCAAACTGTCACTGATGACATTCACTACTACCAGGGACCTAGCACTTCTCTTTCCAAAGGCATGACGTCACTGATATTGTCTACTACAGAAGTCTCTTTCCCATCTTTAATGTCACTGATGACGTTTAATACCGTGAGGGACCTAGGACGTTTCTTTCTCAGACAATGACGTCACTTATGACATATACTATCAATAATAACCCTTCAATCTCAAATTACATAACGTCAGCAGTTGCGTCTACCATCACAAATGACACTCCTTCTTCCACAAAATGACGTCACTGGGAACCTCTGCTATCATCAATGGGCCATCACGTTTACCATCGAAATAACAAATGACTTTAAATACCACGAATTTATCATCTCAGTCCTACTAAACTCATCAATGCGTCAGTGAGGACGACAGTTTTCTCAACGGAATATCCCTCTCCCACACCAAGAGCAAGTTGTAAATAAAGATAACCCCGGGAACAGCTGTATCCTAATTAATACAAGAAACCTCTCAGATAGATCAAACGCTCAGGTGAATACAATTGAAATAGACCTTGAGTTCACCTTTGTTTTAATGGACATCAATACAACTTGTTTACGGACAGTATCGCTCCTCTTTGACTGAAAACATGCCACAAGACATAAGGAAATACGTTTGATGATATTAATATCATGAAACTACTGGTTTTCTGATCATATCTAGGATAGTTCATTAGCCTGAGTGTACTGTTCCGATTTTTGGAAGATTGTATAAAATGATATTAATGTGTCCATTTTATGTACTTTAACTACATAAGATTGTCCAAAAACCCAAAATGATACGCCAGGCATAAATATAAAAAGAGTGTCGTATGGCAATTCCAACGGGCACACGATAAACATGACGGATCATACACGCTTGCACAATTCTTCACTGTCGTGTTTGTTGACGGTTGCCACTAGTTACGTAAATCGGCCTTGCAGAGGTCACCACTCCATCATGGCGGATAGGAAGATTACCCAAAACGTCAGATGTGTCAGGACTGCTCCTCCGTAACGCAGATGAAGAAGACCGTTTAATTCCCTAAACTATTTTAATATGACATCAAGTGGATGTTTTGATTTGCGAACCGCTTCCGTCACGAATTTTCTGAGCCAAAACGAGTCTTACTGGATGGTATATAATTTTTAAAGAGATGTTGTGTGCTTCTTCCCGGATGTCTATCAAGCACTAATTATAACTGTACTCAGACGTTTTGACTGAAATTTGCAACCAATCCAAAAGTCTTATGTAACAGTGAATTAAATCTAGCTTTGCTAAGACTCTTTATGAATTTTATCTTCGGTCTTCAGAAGTGTTTAGTTTCACTGAATTTCGGTGATATTTGATAATTTGCAACTACGTTAATCCAGTTTACTATATGTGACTTACAACGTGGTCTGCATAGAAAACATAGTTTCAAGTACCAGTGCTAAACACACAGAAAGGAGAAGTTTATCATTCAAAATACACACGATCTACAATGTGCCGCTGCGGCTTCCGTAGAAAGTTTCAATTATCTCCTTTTCTGAGATCTCGCAAATAAAGAGGGAAAAATGATAAAGCT